CTGGGGACCAGACCAACCTTGGTTGCCCTGTTGGATGATCTGTATCAGTAGACAGATGGGGGAAAAGTAATCCTGCTCCTTCTACTCAGAGCCTGGGTTCACATGAGTCTCCAGCGAGGTGCTCCTGGTGCTGACACTTTTTTCATTTTAGTGCCAGGCCAAAACCTTTTTTATTCTCCCAGCATTGTAAAAGTTAGTATTGGTTTTAATATTGATTTTATATATTATTGTGATTCTGTGTCTTATTTATGTTATTGCCACTCTGAGACACTGTAAAAGGTGGGATATTCTTTTCATAAACAAACAAACATATCACAAAGAACAACCCTACAAGGTTACCATGGAGTGTGTGTTTTTTTTTACCTCATTGTGCCTGGCAGATGGTCAGGCTCAAGGTGGTAACTCTCCTTCCTACTGCCATCTCCTTTGGTCTCAGCCCTTCAGCTGGTATCCCAGAAAACACCCCAGGGAGCAATGAGTTTCCTTAGTTTGGCAGGTGCAATTGTGATCTGAATACAGCTTGCCATGGCTATTCAGCGGTCTCTGCTGCACAAAAGGAGGCTGAAGTACAGCAGAAAAGACTAGAAAGGTGGGCAGGCACCCTCAGCTCCTGCTCCAGAGGAGACCACAGGAGTAGCAAGGTGGGTGCCTGATCCTTAGTCAGGCAAAAGGGAGGGGAATCAGCTGGGTAGTTTTGTGCAAAGGAACCATACTGCTCAGCTGATTTCTCCGCCTGCCCCCATTCTCCCACTTGCGAGAGAGGAATCCCCAACCTGGCATCCACCTGAGCTCCGTTCCCACAAATAGCAGTGATAAAAGGGAGGGTGTTCTCCCTCTCCTTCCACCCGCTTGAAAGAGATAGGTCCCCAACCCATGCCCTGCAAAATGGGTGCTGGTTTTGGTACTCCACAATTGCCAGTGGGAGAATGGGGGGTGAATGGGGGAATCAGCTGAGCAGAGCTTCCCCCAACCAGGTACTGTCACCCAGCCAATTCTCAGTCTCCCACTTGCCCCCCACACAAGGGCCTTCTCTGAGGCATACATGCAGGGAGCAGTGGGGGAATCAGCTGAGCAGTGCTGCTCCTTTCTGCTGTGCTGATCACCCACCCTTGCCCAGTGACAGATCTACTGTGTCACTGAACACAGAGAAGAAAGGCCGCCTGCTGCTGAATGCCCCTCCCAATGTGTTTTCAATAAGCCAAGACTAATGTCTGAAAAAGCCACCTGGCACATTCACATTTGCTGATAATGATTGCATTGGCTTATAAAGAAGCAGCTTCTGGTTTTGTTCATTTCTCATTCTGAAGACTGTGAAGGAATTAAAAACAAAAGCCAAACCTCAACAGGAGGAGGAGTTTGGATATCATGTGAAAACAAGGTCATGACAGAAGTTGCCTATAGGCAACAACTATGCGGGCTAATTACTGTGATTTTTTTTTCATACCATGCATGGCTTTATGAGACAGAAACAAGATGTCCCCTTTCAACACTGAAATTAAAATGTGCTCTACAAATCCTAGACAATGGTAGCATGGATGTAGGCCAGGTGGAAAGACAATTAGTTAACAGTGTTGACAACAGCATCTCATAGAGACTTAATGTAAAAGATGCATTTGAGATATGTGCCACTTTTTGGCTCTACAGTCGGTTTCCTTTTTGCTGGAAACAGTTTAGTATAATAAATGGTCCTACAGTAAATTTTCCTCCACTCAAGTACATTCTAGCAGTCTTCTTTGGCAATCCCAGACATAACTTTTATTAAACTTTGATCAAAATATGTAGCACCAAGTGAGGGAAACTTGCACAGTATAGTGTTTTTTTAATTAGCAGAAATAAGTTTGATGGCTAAATAGACTTCTCTCTCTGTCAGTGAATAGGATGAGAAAAGAATGAATTCCTTATGTTCCTTAAGGGAGAGTTTTTTCACACCCCAAATGCCAAACAGCAGAATTGTCCAGCTCTGTATGTCACATTGAAACAGATGCTTGCCTTTCAGGGGGTTTCCATTAGTGTTTCTCCAAAGCTGTCCCTCTGGTTGTGTCCACAACTCTGACATATAGTCTGGTTGCTATGTTCTCTGTATCCAGTATCAGGCTGGTTGGAATAGCATCTCTTTGGTGCATCTGGAACCTTTATTTGGGAGATTATTGGATCCTCTTAACATCCCTTCTGGTCTTTACACTCCTTTGTTTCCGTATGTGACATGGACTTGAATCTTTACATGCCCTTCCCCGCTATTTTGTAGCCACTTAGGTCATTTGGTTACTTTTAAGTACTGTGTCTAGTCTTCACTATATCCTGCCCAGTCTCTTACAAATCCTATAGTCAGATTTTCACTAAACTCTTCTCCTTTGTGCTGTTCTCCCTCCTTCCTCTTCTCCTGATTCTCACTTTTGCTCTTGCTCACCTTCTCTTCTTGCTTCCGCTGTTCTTACTCTGGTCAGAACTTACATGACATGAAGCCCTTGCTTCTACAAGTCACTCCAGAAGCCCAAGCCAGCACCTCCACTGGCCTTAGTAGTGCTAGGGAAATGTTAGCTGAACTCCCAACAACTGCTAACGATGGATTCCTGAGAGACAGAGATTCATCTTTCCACTATTTAACCATAAGCTTGTGTAATAATCCCAGTTTCTGCCTCTTGGCATTAAAAATAATCCTTGTTTGCGGGAGCAGCATGTCACCTAACCGTCAAGGTCTGAGCTATTTCTTCTGCCTTATCTTTTGTTTTCCTTCTTACAGGCAGACTAGAATATGTGCATACCCAGTGCTGTGATGGGACATGAAGGACAGCCACAAGAAAGGCTTCATGCAATGTGACGATTTGTGATATATTCTCTCACAGAGCTTTATTCTAAAATAGACTGAATATATTTACATGTCAGATTATTTGCTATATTTGAGGTCAAGAAGAAAGACAGGTTGCTTACCTGTTGCTGGTGTTCTTCATGTGGTCGTCTGTGCATTCACACATAGGGACAGCAGCCTGTTGTTGGGAAGCTTTCATAACTAAGTGTTCAAGTGGGTGGGAGCCTCTTCCTTCCCTTCCTGTTCTAGGAGAGCATGAGGAGAGGCTGCTGCCCATCCCCTCAGTCCCTATGGAGACTGCCATGGGTCTTTGGACTGAGATAGGGAGAGGTCACCGACCTCTAGTACTCCTGGTAAGTGAGGGAGTAATTCTCAGAAGGATGACACCAAGAGGGGCCAGAGGGCAGATTGTGTGAATTCTTGGACAAGATCAACTCCATGTCCAACACTTAATCCTCCAGGCTGCACTAAGGAGATGGTATTCTTGATTGCTGGGGCTTGACATTGATAGTGTTGGCAACCACTGTCAGCTTGATGCCAGGGCCTAGTGTCATGACCCAGTGCCAAGGGCTGATGTGTACCAGGTGGTCTGTTCTCGTGTCACCTCAGTGTCAAGGGTCGGTGATGGTAGTTCTCGGTGTTGACATCCCAGCGTCAGTGCTCTGGTACTCAGGGTTGGCGCTGACTTGGTATTAGGAGTCTCAGGCATTGTTGCTGGGTGTCTTGGACCTTTCTGCTGCCTCCAAGCTCTACTTCTGGCACAGCAGCTGGGTACTCCCTTGGCTTCAGAGATTGTGGTATGTCATTGGCCAAAGGGAATCAGATTCTTGGTGATGCCGGTCAATGGGGGCTCATGCAGTGGCTCCTCTTTTGTGGAGGACTTCCTGACAGTCACCAGGTGAATAGCCCTGACAAAATGATTGCAGTTTGTTTGGGGCTTCTCATGCTGCCAAGGTGGAGGGATGGTATCATCCCTGCCTGGAAGAGTTGGTGACCTGGAGGGTCTTCTTTCAGAGTTTGGCCTTTGGGAAATCAGCCTGATGTCTCTGGGTCTGCTTTGTGAGGGCCTGGCAGTGAGGACAGGTTTTCACAGTGTGTCTCTCACCCAGGCAGATGGAATGGCTGTCAGAGGGGAAAAGCCTGCTACTGCAGATAGCACAGCTCTGGAAAGTCACTGAGGATGCCATTGTGGTGGATGGGAAAGGCAGAGGAAAGCAAAGCAGCACAGGCAACTCAGGAAGAGATGTGAGAAGTGGTGCATAGGAGAGTGGGTAGAAAAATCTATTTTTGTAAGGGTTTTTTTTTTTTTTTGTTTTGTTTTTTTAAGGCAGAGAGTGAAAATGGGTTTGCAAGAAGAGGAACAAAAGAGACTTTGGGGGAAAGATGAGAAAGAGAATGCTGAATACTCGAGAGGAGAGAAGCCCTTCCCAACTTAAGCATGATGACGGTTGAAAAGGAACTGAGGGGATGGAAAGGAGCCTCTCCCCCTACTATCTTGGTACAAGAGAGAGGGGCTCCTGCCCAACTGAACAGTTAGGTATAGAAGCTTCCTGACAATAGGCTGCGCAGGCACAAAGCCCATGTGTGTGATGCACAGAAACCACGAAAAAGAGCATCCCATTCATCCTCAGTGAGCAGTATTTGCTTTGTTTTAGCATGGCATTCCTGACGCACCATGGAGGGACACGTACTCAGTGGCAGGCTATAATCTGTAGTCATAAATCCCAGGTTCAGTCTCTCGCATCTAGACTTATAAGAGGATCATAGCAGGGCCAGGAAGGGCTGGTATGCCACCCTGAAGAATTGGCAACAGGTTGTACTTGATGATCGTTTGATACTATCCATATGAATTTGTTGCATTTCATTTGGGATTTGACATTTCTTTTTCACTTCAGTATGCTATCTCTCCTACTTGATTCAAAGTATAAAAACCAATGCCATGGGGTAAACATTTGGTTTTTCTTATAGCTCCACAAGAAGCCTACAGCAAGGGGTTTTTTTTCTTTAAACCAAAGGATCCCGGCTTTTTTCCTTTACTTTTTGATTCATTTTTAATACATTATGCCAAGTGAAATGCCAAGTGAAATGTCTTGGCTCATCTAAATTATAAGCATAGACTGAAAACTGCAACAACACATAGAAGCTGAATTAAAACTTACTACTGAAATTGGAAAGAAAAAATACATTCCATTTATTGTATAAAAATTATCTTTAATAAATGGATGGATTCAAGTTTGACATGTTAAAGTAACAAAAGTCAAAATGCGCTTGCTTTTTTGTACAAATAACCATGTTTTACAGTAAACTCATCCTTAGTTTACAAAAAAGTGTGTCAGTGAAAATTCTGTCCTTAACCACCTAAAAGCAAACATTTTCTAACAGTTGTGATTAAAATTGTATTGCATGTTTTCCAAAGGAAATGCACTGCATTCTTATATCAAAGCCAGTTTATGGTACACACAAGCAGAACACAGCATTTGTTTTTGGCTTTCTGAATATGTATACCATCTTATTCAAAATGGTTTTAGTAAAACAAAACAGCAAAGCACAATAACTATCTTAACAGAAGAATAAGTATTACAAATTGGACAGATCAGAGAACCCTGAATGTATTTCTTCTACCCGTTTTTTGTTTTTGTTGGAAAAACTCCACAGTGTTCCGTATCTTCCTAGCTGAGAACAGTGCACAGGTTTTTAATGTGCACTGTAGCTACTGGCTGGCATTGTACTCCCTGGTGAGTAATAATGCTGGTGAAAAGGCAGCTTAAACTATTGCTATGAGAGCAGACTTTGGCAGGAATCAAGTGGAAACTGAGTGCAGCACATGTGGTAAGATAGAAAATTACCACAACTTCTCTAGAAGTCATATCAGCTTCAGGGTTCAGATACTAGGTTTGTTCATTAGGAAACTTCTATTACTAAAATGGCTTTAAACGAATAATGAGAATTCCATCAATCTAGAATGCACAAGTAAGGATGCAATTCTATGCATGTCTAGACAGAAAAGGGCTTACAACTTCCCTCATTCCTTAGCCAGCAAGGCTGGCTAGGGAATGCTGGGATTTGTAGGACTTTTTGCTTTCAAAACGTACCCATGATTGTGCGCTAAGTTATTAAAAATGCTTTTACTGTGCCACATGTCTTCACATTGTTTACATACTGTAGTTGTAGACATAAAAGCATAGAAGTGTTGCACACTGCATGACTGTTACCAGAACAAAAACTATTGTTTAACAGAAACTTGATGACATTTAACATAGTTCCTGTCATTTGTCCAAACAATCAAGACAAGCTGCAGAATCATCCTAGTCCAGCAATTCTTTGTGGACAGAACAGCACTCAAAAAGGCTTCAATGAAGGTGATAACTTCCTGTGTGCCAAGAAATACATGCATCACACTGCCCCATCCAGTGAAAACAGAGGGGACAGTTTCTTACTGAAGAATGCTATGTGCATATTCAGACTCAACATGCAAAATCCAATTCCCAGTTCAGCTGTAGCACAGAGAAGCCACTCCTTTTCATTTTACTAGGAAATGTCTTCACTTGTATGATTCAGCAATCATAAAAAAGGGAATCACAATTCAGAAAGTAAGTTAAAGAACAAAGAATGTAGAGCAAAATACTGGGAGAGTTTTTTGAACTTGCATCTGAAATAGGTTGTGCTGGCTACGAATAAAAACATAATGGCACTGTTAAGATATTTTAGTTTCCTGCTAAAGAGACTGGGCAAAATAAGGGACACTCAAATACTTAACAATTTGGAGAATTATTGCTGATTTTTAACAGGATGATGTTACTTACCTGAGTATTGTTTGCAATAATTTATGTCTCCAGTGAAGAAGAGTATAAAACTACTTTAAAGAGAAACTTAAGTGTTTAGAAAAACAATTAAAGCCATCTTGATGAAAACAATAGCATTTTTGCTGTATTCAGTGAGATTACTTTTGTAAATTAGCATGCCAAAGCATAAAGTTGATTTATGAAAAAATTAACCTGCCCTAACTTCTTGAGGCTTGTCCAAAATATGCACTAAAATAATTGACAATTTAGCTGAAGGGATGTGCGCATTCTAATCTGTCAATTTTAGTCAGCAAACCCTGCATATAAATAACACATGGAAGAGTTATTTATATGTTCTTCACCAGTGCAGAGCTCAGTAAGACCTTGGTTTATACATAATGGTTTATACATAATTTCTCATTGGCCACATTCCATTCAGCTGGAAGAACCTTAAGGCATATATAATAAAACATTCTTAATCCAATTTCAGTTTGCCAGTACTACTAAATCCCTCTCTTCCAATGAGACTTGCTAGCAATTAGGAAGAGGACACTAAATACATGGCATTCCACTGGCTGCTTGGTAACTGTGGTTGATCTTCTACAGTTCACATCATATGTATTGCTATCAGTGTAACATAATTGAAGAAACAGTGGCAACTAAAGAGACATATGAGTAACCTACACTCTTTAGTTCTACTAAGAACACAGTGAGCTGGAGAAATGCTTTGCTTTTCTTGTGGATATTGAATCCAGCTGTTGAACAAACTAATAATATCATAGTTGCCATTTCTCTTACTGGTCCTAGTAAAGGGTCCTTCTACTGAACAGCAGATTACATCTTGTACTGGCTACAGAATTTACAAGGCCAAAGGGAATTCAAACATTAGCCAAACAACCTTCTCAGTCTAAATTATCTTGTCTAAAAGTAACTATAATTATTTCTGTATGCCATCCACATTAACTCTACAATTTCTGGTTTCAATGATGTATGATGTAAAACAGGCACCGTTATCTGATCTTAATAAAACAAACGCACAAATAAAAACCCTGTTGATGTCCAAAAAGATTTTTCACATCTTCAAGTCAGTTAAATCAGGGACAAAAAATATTCAAGATCTGGCACCAGAGAGAATGCTCCTGAATTTGTAATAAAATATTAATTTGCTCTTTGTAAGTGGATAAAAACTTAGAAGTCATATTTTTCAGAACAGATATTCTCAGTTACATACTACGATAACTTCCTTTCTTTCCAAGACAGATTTCTTTGTATTGATCATTATGTACCCTGTTTACATATAGTATTCAATAAATTCTCTATGTCAGTATCAGCAACAGTTGGAAGTGAAATATTCCAATCTACCTAATTCCAAGATGGTGTCAAGGAGAGCAGACCAGGAGTATATTTTGACTGATGCTGATGAAGTTATGCAGAGCTAACTGAGCAGATTAATATTTCAACTTTCAATGGCAGGTGTCCCTGTGGGACTTGTAAACAGCAGCACACAATACTGTAAACAAACAGTTTTAACTTCTGCTCAGTTAGTCTAAATCTGTTGATGAGATGAAAATGAAGGTAGCAACTCCACTTAGGTTCTCCCCATTTCTCCCAGAAACCGTTTCCACTACATATAAAATCCTGAGCAGAATACCATGAGCTTGAGCTGGAGAACCAATTGCATACCAAAGACAAACTCATATGTCCATTTGAAGTTCTTAATGGAGTCAGTTACTAACAAAGTTTCCAAAGAGATCAATGTAGCAATATTTTGGCCTAAACCTATATTTTAGCATGATGTCCAGTTCTTGCCCCTGATGTTGAACTTGGCAGGGAAGCTGATGCTGCAGCATCTTCTGCTTCTTCCAGTTCTTCCTGAAGCTCTTGGCTTACACTAGACTGAAGGGCTGCAGGTGTAAGCCATTCTTTTGGTAGGCAACTTTGGAGAAAGGGGATACAGGAACTGAAATAGGCAAGGCGATTCACCCAACGAGGAATTTCTTTTCCACAGAGAATCTAAATGAAGTTCCACAAGTTATCCAATGTTTTCATTATATGTAGGTTTGTAGCTGAGATATCCAGAATCGAGACACCCAGCATGCCAGTTACAGTAAGGGCAAATCTTTGTTGGCATTGCTTCGTCGATACTGGCAACACCAACTCTTATTTTCAGACAACAAGGCCCTTTTGACTATTTTGCAAACAACTGAAAGTTTGATATTCTAAATTGGACATTCTTTTTTAATCTGATTGGGATTGTAAAAACAGAAAATGTTGTACAGCCAGTCATGGAGGGAGAAGTGCCCCCACCCTTTTTGGCCTAAACACACATTGTGTCTGGGCAGCACAATCCAACGTGGCTCCTGAACCCTTTGAATTGGAAGGATTACAAGCATCCAATGAAGGGTGGAAGAAGTACAAAAGTGAAGATTGCATCCTTCTGCCCTGCAAGACTTAGATGGTTGATTCTTTTTCTAAGTCTTGTCCTGGTGCACAAGGCGAGAATGCTGAGGTGCCTGGGGGATACTACCAATACTGGCAGAGCCTGCCTCCCCCCCGCCACCCCACCCTGCAAAAACACTAGCTCCAAGGTCACTCTTGTGCCTGCTCCAAGGTTGCTCCTGCCTCAGAGAATGTCTCCAAGGTTAGAACTGGGACTCCAGATCCTCCTATGGCCATCAGGGCTCCATGTTGATGAACTATTAATGTAGTCCCAAAGTTCAAAGTATCAAGTGAAAGTTACATTATCAATTCCTCCTGCATTTAAATATAGGGTTACAAAATGGAGCAGTATATTTCATTGTCCAAACTATACCAATGGAAATAATTACACGAACTACAGAAAGGTATAGCCATTAGTTGCACTTGAGGCCACACATGGCAAACAGCTCATAAGGAACCTCTTCCCTTCACCTGAAAGTTTAATGATCTAAATTTCTTCTCTAGAGATGAAAATGAGATGCATTTCTACTACCATCCTAAATTATTAGGATTTTCAGAAACTGTAGACTGTAAACATATGAACAACACATGGAGTATATTCCTGGCACAAACAAACAGTGAAATGATTCTAAAAGAAGGGTAAATAACTGACCATGCTGTAGGACTCATACTTGCCTCTGATAAAGCTGAAGAAAAGTGATTGCAGTTTTTGTGCATTAAGTGATAAGCATTTCCTTTAAATTCTTTTCCAAGTTCTTCTACAATTTTTTCTATATCCTCCTCCATGAAGTCAGTGCTTCCTAGAACAACTGCTTCTCTAAAACAAAAAAAATGAAAATAAGGTGCTTGCAATTCAGACTGGGTATCTTCTCACTCCCTCTTTAATACATTTGCACTTCCAAAGTCCATGTGTAGTTTAAAAATCTTTATGTGACTGCTATGGTGCTTCATTCCAAGAGTCCCTACTCCCTTCCTTTCTTACACTATTCTTTCTCTTGTGCAAGGTAGTCTCCGTAAAGCAATGTTGGTGTATTTTTAAAGGTAAAGGTTTCCCCTTGACATTAAGTCCAGTCATGCCTGACTCTAGGGGGCGGTGCTCATCTCCCTTTCCTAGTCGAGGGAGCCAGCGTTTGTCCGCAGACAGTCTCCGTGGTCATGTGGCCGGCATGACTAAACACCGAAGTGCATGGAACACTGTTACCTGCCCACCGAAGTGGTACCTTTTTATCTACTTGCATTTGCATGCTTTCGAACTGCAAAGTTGGCAGGACCTGGGACAGAGCAATGGGAACTCACCCCGTTGTGCAGATTTGAACCAGCGACCTTTCGATCAACCAGCCCAGCAGCACAGCGGTTTAAACCCCTGTGCCACCTGCAGTCCCCCCCGGTGTATTTTTTAGCCAAATGCAATTGTTAACAGTTCTGTCATCTATGTACGCCTGTCCCCTTGCTTCAGCAAACTTCTTACCAATGGTATTTTGCTCATTATTATTGCAGCTAAACTTTTGTGCAACCCATGCTACTTTTCACTAGATGAAAATATACTACTCAAAAGTAGCAGGTTGTTCTCAATAGAGTTTTGAATCCTGATCATAGCATATTTCAGGTCACACCTACAATTAAGAGTTGCTTACTTAAATTTAAATGTTTCTCCTAATTCAGATGCATTTCCTGGAGAAATTTCAAATATTCCAGAAAATGGGTATGGATGGCCACCATAAGCAAATTCTGAAAGAAAAAAAAAAATCAGAGTTATAGGTAGAATGCATAAAGCCAGTTGTTATCAAGTAGCTTACTTCCTAACTTGTTAATTTTACAGACATACTTAAAAGTGATCTGTTGCAGATCAAATATGAAGTACTGCCATGGAGTAGCTTATAAGCACAATTTTAGTCAAACTTAAATCTTGGTACACATATATGAAATATACACATTCCATTTCATTGTTTCTAGTTTAACATGCAATTTAAAATATGCTATTTAAGCCACCATTTGCAAATGCACTTATAGCTAAACATGAATGAACAACCAGAATGCTTCTAATTGTGTTTGTTACTGAAATAGAAGAAAAAACACAGAAAGTAAAACACAGTTCTTTTCCTTGTCCTCCCCTTGAAATGTACCTTCTAACAACAAATTAAGCTCCTTAAATGAAAGTGAATTACGCACCTCTGCCATATATCTCTATTCCTGAATGGAATACTCCAATTCCAAGAGACGAAGTGTATTCATTCATCCAGTACTAAAAAAGAAAATGGGAAACTTAACTAATTAACTGTGAGTACATTTCATATACCAAGGAAACTTTATGGCTTGAATCCAGATACCTGTACGTAGCAGTAGGAGAGAAAATTTTGATTATCTTCACAGTCCCTTTTACTCCTTGAAAATCTGTTGCTAAGGGGTTGGAACAGAACTGGACTTGATGCAGAAAACTATAGGAGGAAAGACAACTTGATAAAAATACTTCCTTCCCTCTGTAAACAGAATGGTTACATTGGCTTCAAGCCAGTATTGCCATTTTTGAAATTAATGCCAACTTTTGACAGTCAGTGAAGGATTTTTCATTAAATGGTTGCGTAGATAATTTAAATATGTAAATTTAATTAGAACTGCATTTGACTTCCCCAAATTAACTGCAAATCACACAAAACGTAAGTAAATAATAGAGATGCTGAACCATTAAAATAGCCTTCCCATGTCTCGCACCCCCCAAATGTGTTGACCTACAACTCCCATCACCCCAATTAGTCCCCGTTGGCTAGCAGATATAGGATCTCAAAAGATAAAGCTATAGGAAATGCTATAGAAAAGGAAGAAAAGCTCTGGGAGTTCCTATTTAGGAAAAAAAATACAAGTTTGTAAAATTATGACTGATTTGGGGAGCAGAAATTCTCCCTCATGCTGTGAAAATCTGGGGGCATGCAATAAACAAAATGGTTAATCCTAAAACATATCAAAGGAAGTACTTCTTTATGCAATGCATACTTAACATATGAACTCACAAAATCTACCAATGGGCAGAGCTTAGACAGCTTTTTTAAAAAAACAGAGGCAAAACTTATTGTAAACTTATTCATAAACATCAGTTCCTAGAGAGTTTAGCAATTGTATGCTCAGATGCAATATACCTTTGAGGATTAGTCAGGGGGGATGGTTCTCCTTTCACATTTTGCTTGAAAGCTTAGAGTAGCACGTAGCCAGCTGATGCTCAGAAGAGAATGTTAGACTTTTTATCCAGAAAGGAAATGCATTTATTACTTTTAGTTTCACTCTCAAAAAGAAAGCAGGCAGGGGCCTATACAAATGTGGACTTCACTTTGAGTATGTGTGTTTTACTTCTTGGGGAAGAACTGAAGGACACAGTTGGATCAAGTATTTCTGACTGAGAAGACACCAAATTCCGCTTACCAGCTGGACACAAGATAACTTTTCTAGGGTTGAAAGAGATGAAAGCTCTTTCTTACTAGCCTGAAAAAGACCTTTTAGGTACTGAGATACTTGATTTGAATCATCAAGTTTTAATTTAAAGTTCAGTTCAAGATCAGGGCAGTTCAGAAAAGTTAAGTGTTGGTTTACTTCACTGAAAATGACCTCAGTTTATTGGTTAAGATCTGTTTCAATTCCTTGACAAATAGGAACTGAGCTTATTTCTCATATGTAATGAGATGCAAAAATAAAGCATAAGGAGAGGTCTTGCCCCATTCTAAACACACCTGCTTAAAAAAATCGTATCAGTTTCAGTTAGACTGCCTAGTTTAAAAGTTTCCTTAGGATTGCAGCCAAGATCTTGTAATTCCAGGACTTAAGAGTTTGAAGTGAAAGGCAAGTCCGATGCTGCACAACACATGGAACTGGAACATGGAACATCAGAAGTATAAACCAAAGCTAACTGGAAACCATGAAGCAAGAAATGGAATAGATAAACAACACAGTGCCTGGTGTGAGTGAATTCAGGTGGACTGGAATGGGACCTTTTCAGTCAGACAAACACAAAGTGTTTTACTCTGGAAATTAAAAACTCAGAAGAAATGGAGTAGCTCTAATACTGAGGCAAGTTGTAGCACAGGAAGTGTCATGTGTTACAATGCAGAATCTGCCTGAATAAAATCAATCTGAATTAGTGGAAAACCTATAATCTTAACTGTCATTCAAGTCTGTGCTCCAACAAAAGATGCTGAAAAGAAGAATCTGAAAACTTTTACGCAGGTGTTCAAGAAAAAATCGATCACATACCAAAATAAGACATACTGATAATCTTATGTGATTGGAATGCAAAAGTAGGAAACAAAGCAGAAATACATGTTGAAGGAAAATTTGGCCTGGGGTCAATAACAAAGCAGGAGAATGACTCGCACAATTCTGTGAAGCCAAACATCTGCACAAATACAGACAGTTCTGGGTTATGAACAAGTTCCATTCTGGAGAAAATGGAAATTTGTCTTTAAGTCAAATATGTATGCAAGTCGGGTCATGTACAGTTGGACCTCCACATTTGCAAGTCTTAGGGGCACAGGACCCGCATGAAAGTGGAAAAATCACAAGTATCCCTAGGCCCCCATCCTCCCAACCCACCAGTGTCTCCTCTTTGCAGCAAGGAAATGCTGGAGAGTTCTCTCTCTGGATGGACAGGGCAGGAAGGTCGGCTTTAGAGGCCTCCGTCTCTACCCTGTCACTTCCTCTCTCTCTATGGTGGTGATGATTTCCTACAGTAATTTCTTTTTAATTACTAAGCTTTATGGCGGTTTGTTTGTAAGTGTGGGTAGGTTGTAACTCAGGGACTGCCTGTACATTCTTCAAGCATCCTCTCAGAGGACTGTATACATTGATAATACCAGATAGCCAATACTGAAATCAAATAGATTTTGTCACTGGAAGCAGGAGATGAAGAAGCTGTAATATTGCTGCCAAACACGACTGGGAGCAGGTTGCTACAGTAACCATGAACTCTTAAAAAATGGTAGTCCATGCACTGGTAACCTCACAGTTGGACTACTGTAATGTGCTTTACATGGGCTGACCTTGAAAACGGTTTGGGAAACTTCAGTTGGTACATAACATGGCACCCAGTCAGCCTGTCTACTAATTGGGATAGGCCACTGCGAACTTATAAGCCATGTCCTTTGTCAATGGCATTGGTTACCAGTTGAACTCTGGTCCTGCTTCAAAGTGCTCACATTGATGTGTAAAGCCCTAAACATCTTAGGCCCCGGATATCCAAAGGAAAGCCTCCTCCCATATACACACATCTGGACCCAATGTTCATCACCAGGGGCCACTGCTAAAAGCCACTGCTAAAAGCCACAAGCCACTGCTAAAAGAAGCAAGGAGGGTGGAGAAGGGCCTTCTCAGCTGTGATGCCCCGTCTATGGAGCCGACTCTTCAGGGAAGCGTGCTGGCAGCAACACTCTATGCCTTTCGGCACCAGGTCAAAACCTTTTTATTCTCCCATTATTTTAATTGTTTAATAGATGGTTATGATTTTATATTGGTTTTTATTCAGATGGTGATTGGTTGGTTGCTATAGATTAGTGTTTTGTGTTGTATATTATTATTATTTTAAGTTTCCTGCTAATCATTATAATTTTTGAATTGTTATGATTATAATGGATGTGTCATTGTTATGCTTCATGCTGACAACCATTCTGAGAGTGTTGGCTATAGAATGGTCTATAAAAACATTAAACAAATAAATCAGAGTCAAGCTGAAAAAGATTGTTCATAGAAACAGTGTGTCAAAATACAACAGTACAGTAATGTTCCTGAGATATTTAAAATCCATGAAATGAACAGATTTGCATTACTCAACTTAACTGATCATGAGCCAGAAGAGCTGTGGACTGAAACCAGAGACATGCCAAAAGACAATTCCTGTAGCAAAAGAAAAAAGAAAAGCCTAGACAGATGACAGAAGAAACACTCACAATTACCAAGGACAGGTGAGGAGCAAAAGCAAAACAGAAATAGGGCAGACTCCTGAATGCAACTTTTATGTGACTATCATGCAGAGACAAAAAGAATTATTACAATGACCAGTGCAAAGATATGGAGAAAAGCAAAAAAAAAAAAAAAAGAGGGAAAACAAGAGAACTCTTTCAGAAGGTCCAAGAAACCGAAGGGAAATTCAAACCCAGATTAGAAATGCTTGAAGATGAACAAGGGAACAGACTATTCAACCATGAAAAAAATAAAAGGTGGAAACAGTATACAGAATTAACTATATGAAAGAGATGAAAGGATGACAGGCTCATGCGAACAAGAATCCTATGAAGAAAAACCTGCAGAGTTAGAAAGTGACAAAAAGGCTTCTCGGAAAGCACTTGGAAGGAATAAAGCACATGGAATAGACAGGGTACTAACAGAACTAGTCCAGGCTGCAGACTGAATTGGTCCAAATCCTAATAAGCAAGGATACTTGCCAGCAAGTATGGAAAACAAAACAATGGCCTTCTACGAGGGTGGAGGGCCTGCTGTAGGGCTCTGCTCCAAGAGACTGATGGTTTTTTTAACAACTGTGACTGGTAATCTTGCCAAAGCCCTCAGTGAATGGGGAAAATGGCTCATGCAGTAAATATGATTGCCCCTAAAAATCCTCTTTCTGCAAGTAGGGCCAAGTTTACTCCAAGTAGGTCTGAGGATTTGGTGAGGCAGAAATGGCAGGAGATGGTATATGTAGAGTGGCAGAACAATTATGACGACTCAATCAAATGCAGGCTAGCTCTTCTCACAGTCATCTGTGCATGATGATGATGATGATGATGATGATGACAGAAAACCGCTGAATCTGTTCAGAGTCATCCAGTATTATTTTTTGAGCAATCAGAGGGCTTTTATATCCTGGTACTTGTGCGGGAGAGGACCACCACTTGGAAGCATTATGGGAACAAGTGGGGACATCCTTGCACCTCTACTGATTGTGTTGCACTAGCAGGACCTGCTACCAGTTCAACAGGAAGCCAGTTCTTCCTAGAGCAATCCTGGACATGAGCTAAAACACTAATTTCCAGAACAGGAGAAAGTCAGTGCAGCTTCCTTCTGTGAACTTCACTGACTTGGTTCCATTCTGGAAACCAGCACTTTAGCTGGTTTCCAGCTGCTATTTAAGAAGCACTGGGCACCACTCTAGTATGAGCAGCAGTGGATACTGTTCACTGGGCATTGCTCATTACAATCTACTTCCGAGACATTATGGAGATAAAGTCACTCACGTATTTTCTAGAACACGCTGCAGTTAGAAAAGGG